GTGATTCTAAATTCTGGTTCAGACATCTTGCTTATATCTGTGTTGGTTAAATCCCTGGCTGTCGTTTCTTTGTGCTCTTTCTTTTGGGGTGAATTCCTTCGTTTTGTCATTTTGAAGGGAGAAAAGGAATTAATGATGTAGAAAAATTAAAATAAAAAAATTAATATTAAAAAATATTAAAATTAAAAAATTACACACACACACACAAATCTAATAAGTGATGCTAGATCCTAGGTGTGTTTTTGTCTGGGTGTTGAAAGTGGTTTGACAGATTAGAGAAAAAAAGGGGGAGGGTGGAGGAAGAGAAAAAAAATCGTTTGAGAATTTGAAAAAACGAATACACTGATGTAGACTACACTGAGATGATGGGAGTAAAATAGAATTTGAAAAAATATACACAAAAGTAAAAAATATAGTAGAAAACAGTTAAAGAAAAATATTTTTAATAAATTAAAAATAAAAATGAATTTTTCTTTTTCTGCATTCAAGAAAAAGAAAAGAAACGAAAAAGAGAAAAAGATAAAAAAAGGAAATCATTTGAAAATTTGAAAAAGTGGATAGATACACTGTAGTAGACTAAAATAAAATGATGGAAGTAAAATAGAATTTGAAAAAATTTACATAAAAGCAAAAAATGTAGTAAAAAAATTAAAGAAAAATATTTTGAATATAAATTGAAAGTAAAAATGAAGTTTTTCTCTTTCTGCATTCAAGAAAAAGAAAAGAAACAAAAAAGAGAAAAAGAAGAAAAAAAGAAAAAAAAGGAAATCGTTTGGAAATTTGAAAAGGTGAATACACTGAAGTAGACTAAAATACAATGGTGGAAGTAAAATAGAATTTGAAAAAAATTACATAAAAGTAAAAAATATAGTAATAAAAATTAAAATATTTTAAATAAAAATTGAAAATAAAAATGAATTTTTTCTCTTTCTGTATTCAAGAAAAAAGAAGTGTAAAAGAGAAAAAAAAAGAAAGAAAATTGAATAAATGGACCTGCTAACAGATTGAAGTAGGACTGAAATTACTTCGTTTTCCCCTAGAAGTCAGACTATGTAGCTCTTTATAGTCCATAAACTAAGCTGGCGGTGAGACTTGTGTTCTTGAAGAGCGAGGTTGGCCCAGTTGGGCGGGGCTCGGTGTAACGGCTCCGTTCTCCACTAGATGGCGCTGCTAGCCTACTGGGGTGGATTGTTGCGGTGCTTGTAGGTGCCTATGCGCATGCGCTGGAGCGGTGAAAATGCACCACCCAGCTACCCAGCCTGTTCTCCCCTACCAGCAATCGCGCACCCATACTCCGTCTTCAGCTCTTGTCCTCTCCCCACTTCTTCACTCTCCGTGACCAGGCCCCGGGCAGCACCTCTCTCCCGAGTTTTGTCTCAGATGCGGCCGTTTTCCCCAGTCCCTTACTTCCGAAGGACTGCGGCTTTGACCCGTTCCGCCCCTCTGCGGGAGGGTCTCACCGAGCAATGGCCGAATGAGCAATGGCCGAATGTCGGCTGCACCCAGGAACACCTTGCTGGGCCCTGCTGCTGCCGGTGCCCCGAGACTGTGGCCAGGTGCCAGCCCGACCCAGAAAAAGTTCGCGAGATAGCGTAGCAGCAGCATTTCAGGGATTATGGAAAATCACAACACACATCTGGCACCAGGCTTCACCCTTAACGACCTTGTTCCAGCACCAGCGAATATGGTTGTTTT